AAGGCCAGCCTGGGCTACCAAGTGAGTTCCAGGAAAGGCACAAAGCTACACAGAGAAACCCTGTCTCGAAAAACCAAAAAAATAAAATAAAATAAAATAAAATAAAATAAAATAAAATAGTAATGCCCTGTCTCAAAACAAAGCAACAATAACACCAAAGAATTCTATATAATTCTAATGTGTAATAATAATATAATATACTCATATATTGTTATATTAATGATTACTAATTTATTAATATATTAATTACTAATATATAATACTCTTTTGCATCTTGCCTGTTCATATTATACCCTTTCTTGGATAATTTTCCTATTAAGTACTGAGCCAAGGTACACTTTATAAGCACCATGATTAGAAGCACTCACTACTCCCTTTGTAAATCCTGTTGTTGAGATCTTGCCCTGGTTTATTCAAATTTATTCAAATGACTTATCTCCTTACAATCAAGCAAAGGTGCCAACCTGGTTTAACCCACTTCCTCTCAGTTGTCACAGCATGGGCAAGTTAATGAAGCTTTAGTATTTCTTTTTCTCTATCTAATCCAGAGTGATCATTTATGGGGATGGTGATCAAAAAATAGAGACTATAATAGTCGCGATATGATGGACATGTCATATGTCACTCTGAACACTGTGAACTATTGCATGGGGCACATCCCAAATTATTTTCCCATGGATGATCTAAGTCAGATAAGGGGAAATGGATGGCCTGCAGATGTAAGTTATGGAGAAAGTAGCTCGGACAAGGGCATATAATAACATCCCTTTGCACACCCTGAAAAACTAAGCCTCTCCACATTTCTAATCATGTCCAGTTTGGTTGTCTTTTTGGTTAACTGTGTAGCTCAGAATGGCCTCACATTTGCTAAACTCCTGCTGAGCCCCCGAGAACTGGGATTAAAGACTAGCACTACCACATCGGACACTACCAAGTCAACTCAATGGACTTAACCAAGACCTGGCTCTCCTTCCTTTTTCTGTATTAATAAAAACTACGTACCTTGAATCCCCACTGTCTCTTTCAAGGATATACCAGATTAGATTTAACTTAACATATTTATGTGACTCAACTTCATGTTCATGAGCAGATGAGGAAATGCATAGAACAAGCCCTTCTAAATAACAGCGTGTTTACCTGTTTGGTGTTCCTGACCTCAGGGTAGTATCTCCCTGTATACCCTTCACCTTAATAAGGAGTATTCATTGATAAAGTAGATACTTGATGAGTGCTTGCTTGAAGTCATTGCTTCAAAACATACCATGAAGCCACATACACGCCTTAAAGCTTGTTTAGCCAATGAGGGCTCAGGGATCTTGAAAGATGCTAGATTTGATCCGGTGCCAGCCAAAGAGAAAGAGTCTCAACCTAGAAAGTTCAAAGCTCCTAAGATGTTTCTTCATCAAGAAACAGCTTTTCCTTGCTTAGGAAATAAAGAGGAAGCAAGATGCCCATGAAAAGCAGAGACACAAAAATGTTTGCTTTCGCATACAAACAAAAAAGTAAAGATTCCCTCTGAGTAAGAAGGTGGAATTAAGTGCAACCTCTTTTCTCTGTCTTGGACTGGGAGAGCAGCTCTGCCATGGAAGAGTGATCTTGGTATCTTGGTACCTTGGTGTCTACAAGCACCGAGATCTGTGCATGGTGACACCTAGTGGTCGCCTGAACTCAGCTCAGAGCCAGAATGACATGCATGCCTGTGTATTTGTCCATTTCTGTAAAGATGGTTTCTTTCCTCAATAGATGCACAAGCTTTGAACTAACCAAATTGTACATTGGTCCTTATTCCAATGCCACAGTTTTATGGCCACAAATCCACTCAATTTTAAGTCATAAAAAAATTAGTATTTAATATTTGCACAGCCCAGAGAAGACACTGAGTAGAAAACAGCAACAGTTCTGATGTGTGGAAGAAATGATTTTGACCAAATCTCGAATCTAAAAGACACAACATTAAACCAAAGCACAGACTCTTTCTCAACAGTTTCAAAGAGCCAACAGCTGTTTAGATGGGATCTTCACTGCAGAGTTCATTCCCAGGAATCCTCTCTCTGCCTTCAACTCTGCCCTAGGGTAGACCGGCCCAGTTGCTTATCTCTACCCCTGGTTCTTCAAGGGAAATTAGAGGGCCAAGATATCTATAATGCTCCAAGGAAATGTCCCCTTATCCTATAATCTATCCCTAGCCAGGAACCCTCTAGAACACCTCTGTGGTATCTTGGGAGAGGTGTCCATACTTCCTCTGTCAGTAGACTGTGTTCTGAAGTGGGTTGTGGGAGATTATGGAGTTGGCTTCCTAAGTCCTGGGTGGACAAGGACTTCTCAGGTAACATGCCAAATAAAAGTGGGGAAGAAGCACCTCTAGAATGTATCAAATTGAAGTCTTCTGGTAAACTTCACTTTGGAAATTACAAAAAAAAAAAGAATATGATAAATATGGTTGACTTTGGTCACCAAAACATGTAATGAGAATAGAAGCTGGAAAATAATTGGATGGAAAATGTGATGTCATAACTTAAAATATTTTATAGCCCAATAGAAACATGGAACTGGTTTTCCAGAACTTATAAGTCAAATGTTACTTGGCCCTTACCTTCACGGGTCTCAAGTCTATTTTATCTTTGATCTGACTTCAATTCCTTATATTTTATGTTTGGGAGTCACTTATTTATTATTTGTTTGTTGTTTGTTTGTTTGTTTTGCAGTGATAAAGATTGAACCCAAGGCTCTTTTTCTGTTAGGCAAACGCTCTGCCACTGAACTGCACCCTCAGTCCGATGGTTGAATTCAAAAGCTTATGCCAAATGTGAGTATTTCCTATGGAGAGCAGATGAAGTTCAAAGTCAAAGTGTATTGTTGACAGGAGCATGGCCATGTCCGGACACCAGTGCCTGGGAATTGTGGGAATGGTGATGCCGTCTTCCCCTGTATTGACCAACAGCTGACCTTTAGCCAAAAGCAGTCTGGGTAAAACGTGCTGACCTGATCAGCTAACCTGCCTCCTCACTCATGCTGTATGTAGTAAACTTGCTGAATATCCAGGCTTCTGGTGCATCTCCACCCGAGCACACAGCCCACCCAATATCAGCTTTATGTGACTTGTGTCTGTCTCCTGTAATCTCTGACGACTCCCAGTCAGGTTTCCAGATTCAGCCCTGCTGTGGCGATTTCCCATCACAAAATGAACGGTAGACCTGACTTACAAATGTGTTTGTCTTTGTCATCTCTACTGACTTGTCTCTCTCTCTCTCTCTCTCTCTCTCTCTCTCTCTCTCTCTCTCTCTCTCTCTCTCTCTCTCTCTCTCTCTCTCATTGGACTTCGACCAGACCTATCTGAGCTCATTCGCTTATCAGTTGTTCAAGCACAACCACATTGGATTTGGGTTGGGGGAGGGGGGGAGCTGGTGTCTCTCAGTAGCCTAGGATGACCTGGAAATCTTTTATGGAGACCAGGATGGCCTTGGAATCACAAATATCCACCTGCCTTTGCCTCCCAAGTACTGGGGTTAAAGTCATGTACCATCATGCCTGGTTATATGGTGACCTTTCTTGATGGTCATCAAACCTATTTGGATCAGAGAGAAAACCAAATTTAGCCACTCTTTTGTTCTGCTCTCTGCGGTTTTATAATTTTTATTGTCACCTTAAAGCAAAATGTGTTAAAAATTACATCACACAGTTTTGTCCTCTAGGGCATGTCTGACCTTGCGGCAAGTCAACCGTGACTCACCTCAAATTGACTCAGTAAAACTGCCCACTTTTAAAATGAGGGCCACACCTGCATCTAGCTATATGTTGAAAACAAATATTCAGCATAGCATTATAAAGACCTGTCTGATTGAATGATATGAAATGGCTTTAAAAAATGGAAACATGACCACAATTCCTTGTATCCTTTGTGTTTTATTAGAACACATTAATTATACACAACAATACATCTCATTTCATGCATGTATATGAAATATTTGGGTCATATTCCTTTCTCACTGTCCTCCCTTCCCCCAACCCCACTTCCGATTGCCTGCAACCTTCTAACTGGTCCTTCTACTTTCATGATGAGAGTTGGGGTTTTTTATTATTATTTTTAGTTGTCTGGTTGGTGCAAATTCTAGTTTCTCTCCAGATTATACAACTCTTTTGACTTTTAATGAACTGGATACATGCATGACCCAATTTAAAAAAAAAAAATGAGTTCATGTGTCATCTCGCAGGCAGTAGCCCTAATAGACCACTGCCATGACTCTCTACACAATTTCACAGGGGAGCTGATGCCCAGGACAGGACATCATTTTGAAAGTTAGCCCTGTGCTTTTCATAGCAGGAGCTAGTATTCTAAACTCAGAATTACTCCACATCTATCAAAAGCTGAACTGAGCAACAACAATACTTACAAAAGCTCCAGTAGACAGACAGCCACATCTTGAATTAAGAAGGTAAATTTAAAAAAAAGAAAGAAAGAAACACTAGATTCAACAAGCCCAACTTCTCAAGAAGTGTTAATTAAAAATATAAAATGGGCCGGGCGTTGGTGGCGCACGCCTTTAATCCCAGCACTCGGGAGGCAGAGCCAGGCGGATCTCTGTGAGTTCGAGGCCAGCCTGGGCTACCAAGTGAGTTCCAGGAAAGGCGCAAAGCTACACAGAGAAACCCTGTCTCGAAAAACCAAAAAAAAAAAAAATATATATATATATATATATATAACGGTATTAGGACTGTTTAGATATTCTTGGAATTGTTTTCACAAGAAATGTTTAGAATATATTTATACTCTACTGAGACAAATCATGAAAGATAAATATATCTATTATTAGACATTCATAAATATGTGAATCCATGAATAGCCATGAGTGTGTGTATGTGGTGTGTGTGTGTGTAATATCTGTTTTTCTTCGCAAGGTAGAAAAATCTTGATATGTCTGGAGTATGTCAGATTCTAGAAGATGAGTGTTCTTACTTCCGTTGACATGCATAAGCCTCTCCAGTAATATTATATTTAAGGTCCCCAAATAACTTAGAAGATATACAAGTTCAAACAGCCTTTTGCTTCTCTGGACCATTGAGGTAATTCTTTCCTCCCTTACCCATGGTTGCTGCAATACCATTTTCCATGGAACAGAAAAGAGATTGTAATTCTGGCTTCCACCCCACCCACTTCCATGCTTCTCTGCTCCAACCTGTCGAGTTCAAACAGAGAATGTCTTAGTGCTTAGCTGGCAGCTTGTTGAACTGTTGCCTCACTGTCTCCTGGATGTTTCTTGAGAAGACACAGAAGGCAGAACAGGCTGTTTAAAGGAGCCTGTGGGTGGGTATGGGAATGCACATGAGCTGTGTAAGTGCATGTCTGGAGGGATTCACGTTTCCTGATGTTCTGCCCCCCTTGAAAATTCACAAAGCAGGCTGTGTAAGGTAGACTGTGCCTGAGATTGTAGCACTCGGGAGGCTGCGGCAGCCGATGATCCCAAGTTCAAGAGCGGCTCGGACCATGAAGGTCTGAGTTCAGATCAACATCGCCTACATAAAAGCTGATGTGATTGTGCTCGTCTGTAGCTCCAGGGGCTTGCAGGTCAGTCTAGTCAAAATGGCAGTGAAAAAAAAAAATGTATCTCAAATAAGTAATGTAGAAGGCAATAGAGGAAGACACCCACATCAACCTCTGTCCTCTACACACGCACAGGGATGATTGCACCCATCCACTCACATGCACGAATATGCATATAGCACAAAGACACACACACTCAATAAAAAGTAAAATAAAATCCCAAATCATGGGATTCCAATATGCATTAAACAAAACATGTAATAAGTGAATTGAATATAGACAATTGAAACAAAATATTTGGGAACTTCAATACCTCATTCCCAACAAGGGGAAGAATGCAACAGAAAACGATCAAGAAGCCAAGTGGTGGTGACACACACCTTTAATCCCAGTACTCAGGAGGCAGAGGCAGGCGGATCTCTGTGAGTTTGAGGCCAGACTGGTCTACAGGGTGAGTTCCAGGACAGCCAGAGCTGTTACACAGAGAAATCCTGTCTCAAAAAACAAACAAAAAAAAAGAGGGAAGAAGGAAGGAAAGAAGAAAAGAAGGGAGGGAGGGAGGGAGGGAGGGAGGGAGAGAGAGAGAGAGAGAGAGAGAGAGAGAGAGAGAGAGAGAGAAAGAAAGAAAGAAAGAAAGATCAAGAAGACAGAAACCTTGGACAACACAACATTATGAGTCAATTAAACCCAAATGACACCTATAGCACACTTCAGCCAACAACAACAAAACATACTGTCTTCTCAAGTGCATGGGCATATTTGCTATGACAGACCATCTGTGATATCATAAAATAAACATTAAAATATTTAAAATAATGCAAAGTAGTTTCCAACTGCAATGAAATGAAATGAGACAACAGCAGGAACTTTAAGAAAGACACAAACATGTGGAAATCAAACAACAAATTCCAAAACACTAGTAGATCAAAGAAACGATAATTGTGATAAAATGAACAAACTCCTAGATAGACACAAGTTACCAAAAGTGCATTGAGAAAGACAATATCTGAATAGACACAGCAAGAAAAGAGATTAAATCGATAGTTTAATCTTTAAAATCTTCTGAGGAGAAGATGGCCTTATTTATGAATTCCACCAAACTATCAAGGAAAAATGAACATTAAGCCTTCACAACATTTTCAAAATTCAGGAAAAGAGAATATTTCCAGTTTATTCTATGAGTCCAGTACAACCTGATTCTAAAATAGATGCAGTCAAAACTAGAAAGAAAAACTACAGACCAATATCCCATTTACATGAATAAAAATTTCTCCACTACAACTCTAGTAAAAGAAGTCCAACAACACTAAAAAGAACACTGTGATCAAGTGAGGTTTATCCTAAGAATATGAGGTTGATTCAATATCTAACAAACAACCATGCAACATACTGTGTTAAGTGAAAAGGAAACAAAACAAAAATACAGAACTCTTGACAGATGAGTAGATTGGAATTTCATGGTAATACATACATAAATAAGGCAAACACACCTACCCTCCACACTCCTGTTCAACATTCTTCTGGGGGTTCTAACATGGCAAATGGAAATTAGAGGCATCAATATTGAAAAAGAAGTAAAATCATTTCTACTTGCAGGTGTTGTGATTTTATCCATGAAAAACCCTAACAAATCCACAAAATTCTATTTGAATTAGGGAGTTCAACAAGGATGAATAATAGAAGAGCAATCTGCAAAAGTCAAATGCATTTTTAAACACCCAGCATTGAAGAATGTCAGAAAGAAATTTAGGAAACATCTAGCTGTGATGGCCCATCCCAGTAAACCCAGAACTCAGGAGATTGAGGCAGGAAGATTGCCCCGAGTCAGAAGCCAGAGTCAGCTACATACTAAGTTCCAGATCAGTCTCATCTACAGGATGTGACTGTGTTACAAAAATGGAATTTATAAATAAAATCAAACAACTCTATTAACAATAATAGCAAGAATAAAATACATAGAAATAATAGTATGAATAAAATACATAGAAATAAGTCTAATAAAATAATACAATAAAGTGTGTATTCTGAAAATTATTTAATATTGTCATAAGAAACAAATACTAAATAAATGGAAAGACATCAATTTTCATAGATTGATATATTTAATATTGTTAAGATGGAAATACTCTCCGAATTGAGCTACAACCAGGCACGTTCAGTCTGTTGATATTATGATTCACATTGTCATCTATAAAGGTAATGTTTGATCCAGGTACAAAAAATGAAACGCAAAGCTCTCATTATGTTTCAGATGAGTTTATGGTTTT